TCTTACAAGGGTTCAACCAAAAATTATTTACATTGATGTTGATGGAACTCCAGAAATGAAAGAAATGATTAAAGAGAAAACAGGTAAATTTGGTGTTTGGCCAATTTTATTTAAAGGAGAAAAGTACATTGGTACTTTAGATGATTGTGTTGATATGAATGAAGGAGGTGAGTTAAAACCACTTCTTCAATAAATAACACATTTAGTTAATAACAGATTTAAAAGTAAGATATATTTTGTTTTTTATTTTAAAATATTTTAATTAGAATAAATAAAGAATTGTTATTTAAGATAAAACAACTTTATAAAAGAAAAAAAGAAAGACGTTGGTTAGAACTAAAATATTTATTAGTGTTTTATTTAATAAAAATGACAGAACCAGATTTTAATATACTTCAAATGATTTATGAAAAGAAAAAAGCAGGAAAACCACTTTCATCAGATGATAATTATCTATTAATTAATATTATTGATTCAGTAATGAAACCAACACAATTTTCTCATCAATTTGATACGTTAGTATTTGGAGAAAATATTCAACAAAAAGAAGAATTGTTACATGAACAGTCATCTGTATGTAATAAATATTTAGGTCTATGTTATTATATTTGTGATTGTGATTCAAATGAGACATATTATTTTTGTGAGGAATGTAATAAAAATCTGAAAGGACATAAAAAACATTCAAAAGGAAAAACCCGATTAGATTGTCTTTGTAATTGTGGACGTTGTCAATGTAAAATAAAAGAATGTAAACATGAAACATGTATTCATAAAAAAAATTCATGTCCAAGACATATGAAAGTTGTTACAACAGAGTCTAGATGTAAATATTCTCAAGTAGAAATTGCAACATCACAACTAATTATAGAATTGCTAGATTGTTTAAATTCAGGTAGATTAGCTGAAGGATTAAGAATTACAGAATATTTAACAGAAATATTTGAATCACCATCAATTTCGAGGTCAGCATATTTATTCTTAGCACAATGTGTTGTTGAAGAAAAAAATAATGATTCACAAACAGAAGACTTTAGTAGATTTTATCAAATAACTGGTTCAGGTAAAAATGCATTTGGAGTATTATGTGAATTTGCTGTTAGATTATATTCAAATGATTTAGTATTATCAAGTTCATTAATTACTCTTATTGCACAATTAGAAACTAAAACAACATTATTGTCTCAAACACCACCAGCAAGAAATTGTTTTTTTATGGCAACATATAATTATAATTATCCTATTTCAATGGTTAATGAATTAATTAACAAATTTTTATTTTGTTTGAATGGAAATACTGTTCATATTAGTCCACATGAAATAAATATTGATTCAATATTCGCTATTAATCATTTAATTGATATTAAAGACAAAATTATAAAACAATTTAAAGGAAAAGAATCTCAACTCAGAAAATATTATTCTGAATTTGTTTTCTCTTTAAATTCTTTATCAAATATTTTAGAAAATAGATTTTCTTCTGATAATTATTATGAATTATATAAATGTATTATTGATGAAAGTACTATTCAAAATACATTTTCAGAAAGTTTATTTAGTTTTACACCAAAACTTGATTTTAGTTGTACTGAAATGACATCATTATATTTATTATTACAAACTAAATTATTTAATATAACTCATATTTACTTTAATGCTTTAATTTTAAATATGAAAGAAGTAGATCCAAAAACAAAAATATGTGATTCAATAAAAAATAGATTAGACAGTTCTCTTAGAAAAACTGATAGTAAAAATATTGTTATTGGAACAAATCAATTAGGAATTGGAAGTAAAAATAGAGTTACTTATGCTCCTTTATTAATTCGTTGTATGGCATTTTTATTACGTTGTAGATTATTAATTGTTACTCATCAACAAGAAACTTTTAGAAATAAAAAAATAAAACAACCAGAAAAACAAGAAACATTACTTGAATTATATACAAGAAATAAAGATTATAAAAAAGAATTTATTAATATGATGTACGAATTTGATATTATTGATTTATTTCTTAGAAATTTAAGAAATGAATTAAAGAGTACAAAAGAAATGAAAGAAGGAAAAGTGATGTGGATAATGAATTCTATGAGACTATTTTCATTTGACCCAGTATTAGGAAGAAGATTAGATTTATTCATGAAACAATTAATTTTTAGTCAATATGATTTTATTAGTGATGAATCTGAAAGAAAGAAACATACTGAAGAACGTTCTATCATTAAAAAATCAGAAGAAATAAAGTATGTTCCATATAAAGTAGAATATGATAATTATTATTATTTAAATTATATTTATTTATTAGAAGAAAATAATATTGAAATGGATTTTATTGATTGTGATGAAAAATATATTACTGCTTATTTTTTGTTATTTATTGATATTGAATTTGTTAAACCTTATATTAGAAACGCCTATGATGTTTCGAGAATTATGTTAATTGGTAATGTAAAAAACTATATTACTGTAACAAATGATAATGTATTTTTTAGTGAAAAAGGACCACAATTAAATGGTGATGTTATTCGTATTTCACCTTTTAACTTTTCTAAATTAAAATTATTTAATCCATTTATACCTGATTTTTTAGTAGATATTTATCAAAAGAATTGGTTAAATACTTATGCGTTTTATGTTAATAACGGTATTAGTTTTGATAGAATTATTCTTGATGATCCTGTTATTAAAATACCATTAATGAAACCAGTTATTACCAAAATGATAAATAAAATTAATATTCATAATTTACCTTCATTGTGTCCAGATAGTGAAAAAATTGACTATTCGTCTTTAAGTAAAAAAACTTTAATCAAAAAGGTAAATCAATCTTCAAGTCAATTAATTTATTCAGATAATGGAAATCAATTATCTTCTGCTTTAACTCAATTTTATAATCAATTTGCTATTACAATTAGATATGCCTGGATTTCTTCTCAATTTGTTCCAAGTAAAAAAGATAAAGAAGAATATGATGCACGTGTTGCTCATGACTATATTTTATGGGCTCAACTTATTGATATTAGACAAAGATTATTATCTGAATTACATATTGAATTAACTAAAAAAGAACAAACAAATAAAAAGTTGTTTGAAAATGAAAAGGCTGAACTATTTATTTCTCGACTTAATAAAGAAGAAAATGTTTTTCCTGAAAGTCAAAGAATAAGAGGTATTTGTTTGCTATTACTTGAAAGTTGTTGTGAAATTTTAAAATATTATAAAGAAGGAAAAGTTTTTAATTTGTCTTATAAAAATTAAATATTTAATTGATATGTCATTCTTATTATTATTCTATTAATAAGAATTAATTCAATATTGAATATAGTCTAAAAAGTATTATCTAATTAACTCAATTAATAATTTTTTGTTTTTTTTTTTACTTATTCTAACAAAAGTAATAAACATCAATGTAAATAATGAAAAAGAATATATTAAATATATTAAAATATCACATAAAATAAAAGAAAGCACTAAACGGTACATTAAATTGAAAGTAAATGATATAATAGAAGGAAGAGTAGAGTGTGATTCAATAATAAAAAACATCATATTAAAGAATAACTCTACAGAAATTGATGAAGAATACCTTAACACTCTCATCAATAAAGTTAAAGAAATGAAAGTAGAAAAATGTACTAACATTAATTACTACTGGAAAAGAAAAGAAGCTGAAGAATTAATAATGGAAAATAATAATAGATGGATATGGTCAGGAAGCAGAATGGATTATCTGCAAGATGATATGAAGAGGATTTCAATAGTTATGCACCTCTATCTCCAAAATAAAATAATAAGAGATAAATTTGATGAAATAAAAGAAATCCTAAAGAAAATAAATAGACTAGAAGATCTAGTCAATGAAATTGTACAGAATAAAGTACATCATGAAATTAAATGAACATGATGAAGAAGGAATAAAAGTTAAATCACTAGAAAGAATAAAATACCTAAAATATATGATGACTATGATAAAAGAAAGAATTAAATTTAATAAAGATGAAATAATCAGAATCAATACAAATAAAATCATGTTTGATTCTAACAAGAAAATTAGAATAAGGAAGAAAGACCCAAAAACGAAATATACCCAAATAACGATATTACTTTAGAATAAATGAAATTGTTATACGAAACACAGGTGATATTAAATAAATATAATTGGAAAATAAAACAAATCACCCTATTGAATGAAAGATATATCAATTATGATAATGTCATTATAACAATAAATGAATTAAATTTAAGTATAATGAAAATAAATAATTATAAATATTCAATGACACAATATAAAAGTAATAAAAGAAATAAATATAAAATATAAATAATTGATAAAAAGAATAAAACTAATCTTATAAATGATATGATTATTGTATATCACAGTAACAATGAAGGTAAATGATTATAAAGAAATAAATATAAAGAAATAAAGAAAAAAACGACAATTATTAGATATGTCAGTATAAATTGAATAATAAATTCAAAAAGTATTATATTAAGTATAGAATTAAAAAAAATGAAATTGACAATATTAAAGGAATTAAAAAACTATGTTATTTTAAAAAACATGATAAACATTATTAAACATTGACTCTATCATAACCAAACATACTCCATAGAGCTTCTAGAAGAAGACTTATTGAATGAGATTAATCTCCACTGAGTCAGAAACAATAGAAATTTATTCTATTAACATTTAATTAATTTTAAATTTTTAATAATCGTATATATCATTTAATTAATTAAGACAAATAATCAATAATCATTTTTAGATATTAAGGAATAAAATAATTAAATAACATATTTATAAAATATTTAGTTATTTATATCAAAAAAATTAAATAAATTTTATAAAACACATTATTATGAAATGAATAAAATGTTTTTCCATGAATTGAATAAAAATGAATAAAAATTATAAAATACTATAAAGAAGTAATGAAAAAATTAAAATCAAACCCTGAATAATGAACTTACAAAGGAACTAAAAGGGTTTTTAGTCGATGGGAAGAAGAACACTCAGTCAAAGAAAAGGAAGAGGATCCATCTTCAAATCAAGAAGTCATCATAAATTGGGTGTTGCTCAACATCGTGCCATTGACTTCTTTGAAAGACATTCAACAGTCAGAGGATTAGTCAAATCAATTGAACATGATCCAGGAAGAGGAGCTCCTCTTGCTAGAGTTGTTTTCAGAAATCCAAGACAATATGGACTTGATAAAGAATTATTCATTTGTGCTGAAGGATTATATTCAGGACAATACATTTATTGTGGAAGTAAAGCCTCCCTTCATATTGGAAATGTCCTTCCAATTGGACAATGCCCAGAAGGTACTGTTGTTTGTAATGTTGAATCTAAACCAGGAGACAGAGGAATTATTGCAAGAGCATCTGGAAATTATGCTACTGTCATTTCACATAATGCTGATAATGAAACTACTCGTATTAGACTTCCATCTGGAGCCAAAAAGACATTAAAATCAAATTGTAGAGCTATGGTTGGTATTATTGCAGGTGGAGGAAGAACTGAAAAACCAATTCTTAAGGCTGGTGTTGCTTATCGTATGTATAAGGCTAAAAGAACTACATGGCCAAGAGTTAGAGGTGTTGCTATGAATCCAGTTGACCATCCACATGGAGGAGGAAACCATCAACACGTTGGACATCCAACTACCCTTAAGAGATCATCTCCACCAGGACAAAAAGCTGGTAAAGTTGCTGCTAGAAGAACAGGTCTTATTAGAGGAGGTAATAAAGAAGGAGCCGCTGATAATTAAACAATTTGACTTTTTATTTATTTGTTTTTTATTATTATAAAAATTTATGTTGTTTTATAAAACTTAAATTTGGTATAATTTTTTGTTATTTTCTAATTTATAATAAATATATTATAATATTACTATAATTTATATATTTGTTTTTTTTTTAAATAAATTTATAGTGATTATATTTGTTGGTTGTTGAATTATTATTGAATATTCATTGTTGTATTATGTTATTTTATTATTCATTCAATTAGTTATTAAATTTTTTTTCATTTTGATATTTTATATTTTATTTACATTAATTTTCAATTGAATGTTAATTCATTCTATTTGTTATTTTATCATTTCTTTTTTTTATATTCTTCTTTCTCTTTTATTCCTATTATATTTTAATCATCATTTAACATTTTCATTATGTTTATTAATATTATTTCTTTATTATATAATCATTTAGTTATATTAAATGTTTATAATATTATTTATATGTTATTTTCGTTTTATATCATATTTCTTCAATTCTATTAATAAATGAAACGATATAATCATAATTAAACAATAACATTCAATAAATTAACATAAATACTATTTTATTCATTCTATCAAGTAATTATATTTAATTTCATTGATATTATTTTTTTCAATTTCTCTTTTGACTTACCTTTTTCCATCATCTAATATTTAATTTCGATACTTAATTTCATTAATTAATGTTTCAAAATAAATAACAAAAATATAAATAGAAATGAAAGAAATAACAAAAGAAAATGAATATTCCAAGATAAAACATAAAAATAATCAAAAAAAAAACCAGTTAATAGATTATTGTAAAATGTTATAATAAATATAGCTTTGTTTATAATATCATTTTAGTCTAAAATATACTTTGAGTACTGAAATATAAAGTTAAACTCTAATTAAATTAGAACTGTTTATTTATTATGAGTTCCCAAGAATATGCTCTTCATGGATTTACTTATCCACGTTCACTTGAATTAGATTCTTCTAACCCATATCTCCAACCAGAATTACCTGAACCTATTTTTGATCAAATATGGGAAAATATGAAAAAAGCAGCTGTTGATAATCTTAGTAAATATGATCCAAGTCATAAAGAGTTATATGAGAGTATGTTAAAAGAAGGTGATTCATTATTTGATCCCCAATTTAAACCTGCTATGAGAGATTATTTTGCAGGATGTTTTGATATGAAATCACCGATGTTTCAACAAATGGCAAGAAATGTAACAGGGAAATTAATGACATATATGAGGTTTAGTACTGAAAGAAAAATGTATAGAAAAGAATTAGATAAAATTGTTATTAAGAATCCAATATTTATTACTTCATTACCAAGAAGTGGATCAACATATTTACATAATTTAATTGTAAATGATCCAAGAGCTAGTGGAATTAGATTTTATGAACATATTTGTCCAGGAAGTAAAACAATGGAAAGTGAAAGTAGAAAGAATGTACTTAGAGATATGTTAAAGTTATTTGAGTCAAGTCATACTGAAATGAATACTGTTCATAACCTTGATAGTTTTATGAATTATGAAGAAGAATTATTCTTTATGGAAATGCTTGGACAATGCTTTATAATTTCAAGTGCTATACCTCGTCTTGAACAATTTAGAGTTAACCAATTTAAAAGAGATTATCACTATGTTTATGAAGCTCTTATTGATGAATTTAAAATGCATTTAGAAGAGTTTCCATTAAAAGGAGAAGATGGATTTTTATGTCTTAAAGCTGTCAATCATTTTGCAACAATGGTACCAATGTTAGATGTTTTAGGAAAAGATGAGTATAACGCACGTTTTATTTGGATTCACAGAGAACCAGTTGAACAACTTAAATCTTTTATTCCATTACTTATAGCCACAAAAGGAAGATTTGAATATGACTTAGGTAAAGATGATATTGAATGGTTAAATAAATTTGCTGTTAAAATAAATGAAATTGTTTTGAAAAATTCAATTGCTGCACGTGATGCTTGGGTTGCTCAAGATCCATCAAGGGCTAAAAGAATTTTTGATGTTGGATTTGTTGAAGCTGTAACAAAACCAAAAGAGACAGTACAAAAGATTTATGACTACTTTGGAATTGAAATGACTCCAGAAGCTGAGAAACAATTAGAATTTATTATCAAAGAAGGAGATCCTCAAAGAAAACATGGAAGAAAATTACATGATGACAAATTATATTTCTTTAATGATGAAGACATTAGAAAGAAATACCAATTCTATTATGATAGATTTGGACAATATATGCCATATTATTATGGTAAGAAATAATATGAAATTCTTTTTTGAAGTATCAGTTTTAGAGTTTTAGTTAAAGAAATATGAATTTGTTTTTTTAACAAAAAGGAAGAGTATAAGTCGATATAAAAAAATAATAAAAAGCAATTAATTAAGTATTAATAAAATAAGTCTTTATTGTTTCTGACTTAGGAAAGATTAATCCCATTCCTTTGTCTTGAAGGTATAAAAAAGATAAAAAAATAAAAACATGACACTCAAACTACAATTTAAAAAAGGACAAAAGGAATGTCACAACCAAGAAATGAATATTGGGTAGGTAATATCTATAACTTCAGAAGTATTGAAGATGTTAAAGTTAAGAATGGAAAAATTAAACCAAACCACATTTTTAGAGGTGGTTTTTTCTTTAATAAAGGAGAAGAAGATATTAAAAAATTAAACAGTGAAAAAGGAATTTGTTCACTTGTTGATTTAAGGTCATCTGATGAGGTTCCTTCTGGATTTGGAGAAATGGTAAATAAATGTGGAGTGAACTTTTATAATGCCCCATTAATTCCATTTTGGAGAAGTATCTTTTATATGATATTTAGAGTACCTTTTAAGGTTATGGTCCATTGTGCTTATTTGATTTTGTCTGCTATACTCACTTTAAGATTCCATTTATTTGTTGGTGCAATGAAGTCTACTTCAACTTCATTACCACTAGGATGGTATTATCCTGTTATTTATCATTATGGTCAAAAAGAGTTATACGGATTATTTAAATTTATTGCTCAACACTCAGATAAACCTTTCATCTTTTATTGTTCTTTTGGTAAAGATAGAACTGGTCTTATTGGGTGTATGTTAGAAATGTTGTTAGGGGCATCATTAGATGAATGTATTACAGATTATAAATTAAGTGATAGAAGCTTAAAAGATCATTTAATTGTTGCAAAAGATCATTTCAAGACTTTTGGGGGAGATGAAAAGGGTATTGATTTAGCTAAAACAGACTCTAAACTTCTCATTGACTTTGAACATTTCATTAAAAAGAAATATGGAACTATTGATAATTACTTAGTTAAATTTGTTGGATTAACTCAACAGGATATTGAAACTATTCGCACTAATTGTTTACTCCGTACTGAATAAAAAACAATAGTTGATTGTCATTTTAATTAATTTATGACTTTGGTATTATAATATTATTTTTCTTCTTTTTTCTCTTCTGTTTTTGAACTATGTCGTACCCTATGAATTGCTGATTGTATTGCATAACTGCTGATAATTCGTTCTTTGATACTAAGGCTTGTTTTTTTCTTTTTTTTCTCTTCAGGTTCTGGTTCTCCTACAGGAGATGCACTTCTTACTCGTTCAAGTTCATTAGATGAATCACATCTTTTTGGAGTTCCTTCTTGACTTTTAGTTTCTTCTTGAAATGGAAGGGTATGAACGAAGAAATTATCTGGTTTATCTCTTTCTTCTCTTGGTGTAAAGTTTTTTTGTTTCATAAGTTCAAAAGAACAGAAAGATGGTGATTCTTTCTGTGTTGATAATTTTGCCTTTTCATTTGGAGTTATTAAGTTATCTTTCTTTTGTTCAGATAATTCTTTTTTTATGATTTTATCTTTTTCGGTTAGTGTTTCATCTTTTCTTCCCGTTATTTGTTGGAAATTTAAAGATTGTTGTTTTCTTTCTGTTAAAATGGTATCACTTTTGGCTGATAATAACTCTTCTTTATTCGCTGACATATTTATTTTTGGACTGTCAAGTCGTTCATTCTTTTTTATATCATCATTCACTTTTTCTAATTCTTCTAATGTAGTTTGAATAGTATGACGCTTTTCTCTTCTCTTAAAACTTTTAAGTTCTTTTTTTTCTTGTTTTTGTTGTTCTTTAAGAATGATTTTTTGATGTTTCTCAAGTTTTTTTTCTGATCTGAAGTCTTTTTTAAATTCCCCACTGACAGCAAGATCAAAAAATTTTGTTGCTACTTGACGACTAAACTTGAAAATATCAAACTTTTTATTTTCAAGATTGTATTTTTTTATATCTTCTGTATATAAAACATCAGGAATATAAGGAGAGGTGTTAAGATTGTCTGACATACAAGGGAGGTCTGGTAATTTATATTTTGTATCAACAAATGGGTTGTAAGTATCAAATTGTGTTGGTCTAGCTATTTCACTGATTTGTGGAATTGGAATTCTTAATAATGATGGAAGTATCATTTTTTTAACGATAACCATTTCAACTATAAAATGGATTATAGAGTCAACAGCCTTTGTTGGAACAAAGTAATACCTTCCAATTTGTATTTGGTATTTAAGAGTGAATTTGGGGAGTTGATGAAAAGACAAATAAATGCTTCTCGATGGTACATCAGGTATATCAGCACGACAGGTTCCAGAGAGTTGTGGAAGTGATACTAAAATTCGTATTGGAAGTGGTTCTTCAAGGAAGTAAGGAATAACAAAGGATAATGAAATTTCAATAAAATTAGATGAGTTGTAGACAATGTCAAAGTCTAATAAAAATCTTCCATCAGTTTCTTTAGGAATATGAGAAATGATTGACTTAATCAATGGGGCACGACAACCTAATGAACAATCAGTACACTTAATGGAAGGAATCATTGTGCATACTAAACCTTGTAATTTACGGGTTAATGTGCCTTTGATTTTGTCTACAATATTTTGTGTTTGTGCATTAGTGTAAAATATTCTACCGATAAAGAAATTTGATAGTTGTATCCAAGGAAAACTTTCTTTAGAATTTTGTGAAGATAGTCTGTTCAATTCTTTGAATAATGAAACAAATGCCTCATCACCAGTATAATACTTTCTTCTTCCCTTTTGACAAGCTTTGAGGTAGTAATACCAATATTCCATTTGATATCCTTCTCTAAATCGTATACAAACAGAGTCATAAAGTGGGATAATATCTGTTGGACTAGTGAG